AATAAGAAAAGTGGTAATCTTTTTATTTTGTATTTTATGAAGTAGATGTAGTTGCTTATCAGGTTGTTAGCAGAGTTCTAGCAAAAGCTGTTTCTTGAAAGGAAATTTTGGTTTTAGGGTAGATTTCACTGATAAAGTCCGCCTCTACATGTATATGTTGAGGCGTGTATGTGTTGGCCACCCTTTGTAGATCCAGATTTTGACTAATAAACATTAATGAATAATTATGTCAGAATCATAGTAGAGACCATGGTATGTTATTCTCCAGCATATACATATAGGATTCCTTGTTAAGAAGGCAAAATTGTTTAATTTAGCATATATGTTAGACCACCTCAAGATTCCAGAGGGTCAGATGGTGATATTACTACAGTATTTTTGCTTAAAGAAAATGTTAGAGATGGAAAGAATCTTCTTTAATAAACCCATTTATAAACGTGTCTATATAAAAGGAGTTCCAAGTGCTTACCCTAGACTTGTTTCCCAAAGACTTAGAAACTGTTATTAGGAATGACTTTGTGATAGTCCCTGATGCTGCTGTACTAATTGACCACTAGTTAAAATCAGATTATCTAGGAATAAAATTGTGGAGCAGTAACTAGGGTAGATGGAAATTAACAAGTTCAGGAAGTGTCCACAAAGACAACTGGTAAGACCCAGGGGTGCTCAAGAGCATATCAGCGTTCACAGTCCTCATAAAAGGTTTTATCCTTTCAGAGGCTTGCCAGCTTTCTAGTTTTCCTGAAGACAGTGTTAAAATGTGTGAAACTGTTAAAAAATATTCCGTATGTGGAACAGAACATAGGAACGTATGTGTAAAGTTTGGAGACACGGAACACTCTCATGCCCACCACCCAGCTTTAGAAATGAAACACTGATAAACCTTTAAAGCTTTGGTGTGTCCCTCCCCCATTCGCTTCCCCACTGTCTTATCCAGAGGGTAACTATTCCTCTGCATTTCCTAGCTTTTCTTTCTAAGGTCACCATATAGGTTTATATTACTAAACAGTAGAAATGGAAACAAACTCTATGTGTTTTTCTGACTTGCTGTTCTTAAACCAGCTTTCTATGTGAGATTGAGCTTTGTTGATACACGTAGCTCTAGTTCATTTCTTTTTAGTGCCGCGCAGTTTTTGTTTAGTAGTGAGTTTAATAATTCAGTGGACAGGTTAGACACACCTAAAGAGAATTATTGAACACAAATAATAATTTTTTAAGAAATTATCCAGAATGCTTCAAAAAAGAGGAAAAATTGAAAGGAAGATTAAAAAGCATGGAGGATGGAATGAAAAGTTCCAACAGAGGTCTAATGGGAATGCCAGAAGAAGAAGAAAACAGAAAATAAGGAGGAATCAATACCCAAATAATGGCCAAAATTTCCCAAAGTCAATAAAGCCATAAATGTTCATATTCAGTCCTGAGCAGGATAAATTTAATTTACATCTAGGTGCAACATAGTAAAATCGCAAAACACCAAAATCAAAGAGAAAGCCTTAATATTAACTGTAGAGAAAAAAACAAGTATAACAGAGGGATAGCACACTTGGGCAGACATAACAGTAGAAGCCAGAAAAATGGAATAATATCTTCAAAGGGCTGAGAAAAAACAGCTTTTAACATAGAGTTTTATACCCAATTAACCTATTTTTCAAGAGTGGTGGCAAAATGCACTTTTGAACAAAGACTGCTGAATACTAATGACTGTATCTTAGAAGGAAATTGAGCCAAGAAGAAAGGACTAGATAAAAAAGTAACGGCAAACATATTGGTGAATGTGAATAAGTAAGTTTTGACTGTGCAAAACGATAATAATGACTACTGATGTTCAGAATACAAAGCAAGGTGGAACTAAAATGTTACATAACACCGACAAATAAGCCATAAGGCAAGTGGTGTGTATTAAAACTGTTAAGGGAAAGGGCATATGTGATTTTTCATTTTAGGCATTGTTAAGTGTGGTGTGCATATCTAAAATTTAGTAAAGAGTAGAAATATATAACGTTCAAATCAATAGATAGCTGGTGTGGGAAGTAAGGAAAACTGTCAATCCAATAGTAAACAGCAACAGAGTGGACAGAGAGGTTGGGGAAACAGCAAAGAAAAAACTTGCAATTAGAAAGTAAATTCAATCCAAAGATATGAGTAATAACAATTAATGTAAGTCATATAAATCTGCCAGTTATAAAAATACTGACTTTAAAAAATTCTAGTTATATGTTATTTATAAGAGGCCAGAAAAAAATATAAAGTAGAGTAATATTAAGGAAATAGTAGCCAAATAAAGATGCTGTAGCACAAATCATAAAGGAAAATATTAAGTATTTCAATTCAGTGCATTAACCAACAAAGAAATAGCATTCTGCAAATCAGTTAGAAAGACAATAGACAAATAGACAAAAAGATAAAGATAATTTACAGAAGAGAGGTGGAGAATGATTCCAGAGGGGAAAGAAAAAGAACAGTGTTTTTCTAACAAAAACTAAAACCACATTGAGATGTCCTGTCACACTTATCTATCTAACATTACCAAGAGACGGTGAGGAGGAGCATGAGTTGAGAGTATAAATTCTTACAACCACTTACGTGAGTAATTTGGCAGGTGGAAGGTCAACTCATAGCCTTGAGTGTAATTCCACTTCCGAGAGTTTGTAAATCTTATGGATTCCTTGAAGAAACACCCATGAACGGAAGAAAACACTTTTGTTTGTAATCACAAAGACAAGAATGGTCATCTAAATGCCTCTCAGCAAGAGACTAAATATATAAATGCTTGTATCTTTACACATTGAAATGTTTTATATACTTTACAGGAATGAACTAGATTTATCTATCTATTGAATGTTCCTTCATCCTAGTTCAGTGTTTGTGGTAAATGTTAATATTGTTAACAAACATTCCCTTTCTTCTATGGGGCACACAGCAGGGTTGCACTGTCCCACCTCCTTGAACTTAGGTAAGGCCCTGTGACTTGCCAAGTCAACCAAATGTGAGCCAAGGGATGTGTTACTTTGGGGGAAGAGTTTTAAGAGCCAGTACCCAGCTCTCTCTCTTCTCACTGCTACTGTGATGGAGGAAGCACATATTAAAACAAAGCCTCTGTCACCCGGTCCCTGAATGATACAGTGAGCACAGCCACTGGGCTGATTGTCACTGAATACATAGGGTGAGCAAAGAATAAACGTGTGCTATGTGAACCGCTATGGGAGTTGGGGCTGTTACTGCCCCCAGAGTATTAGGTTATGTCTCAGCTCAATTTACTGTGCATCTTGTGTCCCTTCCTTAAGTTCTGTCTTCCAAATCACAGAATACTTCCTCTTTTCCATGAGACACGGTACCAGAACATCGCCTCTAAATATAGCGCTTCATCTGTCTTTTTTCAAAGTCAGGGGAGCTTCTCTCTAAGCCCCTTCTCTGTCAGAAAACTGTCCTTGCAGGTTATTTCACCAGTGTTTTTGCTTTGGAGTTAAGCTTCATAGCAAGAGATTCATCACCAGAAAATCCATTCTTTCTCCCTTCGCCTCCCCTCCCTTCCTTCTTTATCTGTGGATGGCTGTCCTCATCTGCCAAGAGCAGAGTCATTAGGGAAGGTTTGTGAGATGAAGGCTCAAGTACAGGCATGCCCAACTTTGGGAAATAAGTACATTCCATAAAGATACATGTAACACTGTTTACTTGGCATCATTGTAAAGTTAGAAATGTTTTGGCACAGTGGTAGTACTGCGCACCCTCTTTTCAGAGTATAATGTTATACCGAAAAGTACAGTATATATCTGATGAGAAATTATCTTTTTTTCCAATCTATTTTCAAATTATGTAAAGTAAGTTACAAATCTTGAATGTACGTAGCTAGGGTTAATTGTAGATTTGGGTTAAATAACTTAAATGGCTGAAGGGGAGAAAAACCCTCACCTTTTATCATTCTCTTCTTAGTGTTTAGAAAATCTACATTGATTTTGAACAGCTATTATTTTGTGGAAGCCCTTGATTTTTATAAATGAACAGGTTGATATGGCTTGGAAGTATAGAGGGAAACTCAGAATTAAAACAGAGCTAGTGTTTCAAAATACAGCAGTTTGTGAACAAAGAGAAAAGCATGTGTATTAAAATGCATGGAATAGTAAACAAACAAAAGAGGGAACTAAATCCTGGCTGAGGGCAATGTATATTCTGAACAAGGATTGGTGCCATGTCCTGGACGTTTTTCTTATTTATGAATTTTAAAATGGTAATATAGGTATATATACATACATATATAATCTTTCTTCAAATAAATTTCTTAAATGTAATAAATAAGTGCAGTTTAGAGAATACAAGTCCCATGTGCCTACCACCTAGCTAAAGAATAGAACAAGACCAGTACTTTTGGAACCCCTCCAAAATTTCATTCTGGAAATGAAGTCAATTAATGTTTGGACCCCATTGGTGGGGGTCCCTCCAAGATTTCATCTCTCTTTTCCTGGACAAATTATCCTCAAATTTGTATAATAATTCCCTGGACTTCATTTTTAGTTTTACATGTATGTATATATCCCTAAACAAAGTATATTTTTAGTTTTGCCTTTTTTAAAACTTTTTATAAATGAACTCATACTCTGTGTTTTTCTGTCTTGCTTTTTTTAACTTAACATTGTATTTTTTATTCATCTACTTGCATATAGCTATGGTTCATTAATCTCAATTACTGTGTAGCTTCCCACTGTAGTATTATTTTGCAATGTGTTAGTTCATTTTATAATTTATCGGGTATTATGTTTCTTTTCCATAAAATTATGTAAGGTTAATTGTTATATGTAGTTTGGTTTGTTCCAACCTTAGGTACAACTGTGGGGTTTTTTAAGCTATTTGACATGGAAAGTGTGTTCATATCCTGAGATAATCAAGATGTTCTAATTTACCTTTACTCAATGATTTGAGTTAGATATTAATTTTTTTCACAACACACTATCGAGATGTATTTGGCTTCTCTTGTCTTGATGCTGAATCTTGTGTTGGCTTCACAGTTCCCAGGGAGAATGTCGCAACGATTGCTGATTGTGCCAGTGTGATTGAAGGAGTCAGTCGGAGCCGAAACGCCTTGCTGAATGGGGACACCAAGAATTATGATTGGGATTCTGGCTACACATGCCATCAGCTAGGAAGCGGGGCCATTGTGGTTCAGCTGGCACAGCCATACATGATTGGGTCAATACGGTAAGAAGACTACTTCTCACTAATTACTTTTCAAATGGAAGACACGTACAAATTACAGTTTAGTACAGTGATGTGCCAGCAACTTCAGTGAAGACACTCTTCTGTTCTTTGCTGTAGATAGGGAGGGAGGGGCAGAAAGGGGCACAGAGATACAGTGCTTGTTGGATTCTCGGGGGAAGGGGAGATGCAACAGGAGTTAGACTTCTGGGGAAACCAGAGCAGAGGCCTCTCCCTGGTTCGTATTGGTTAGCGACTTGCAGGATAATGTCAACACAAGTTACACAGAATCAAAAATCATTTGAAGCTTTAATAAATGACTTTGCATAGGGAGCAGACAGAACCGTATATGAGACCTGCTTCTAAAAAGTCTTTGTAATGATCTTTGTGTCTGGATTTTAGTAGTTGTTTTCATTTTGCTTTAACCCAATATTGCTTGATTTATAGGATCATATAATTTTGTTGTTGTTGTTAATCCTCACCTGAGGATATTTTTTCCATTGAATTTTAGAGAGAGGGGAAGGGAAGGGAAGAGACAGAGAGAGAGAAACATTGATGTAAGAGAGACACATCAATTGGTTGCCTCGCATGCACTCTGACCAGGGCTGGGGATCAAGCCTGCAACCGAGGTATGTGCTCTTCACCAGACTCGAACCCGAGACCTTTCATTCCACAGGCTGACATTTAACCACTGAGCAAAACTGGCTAGGGACTGGTGACATCCCCTAGACTCTAGGGCCTAGAGAATATACTTTTAGTTCAAGAGAACCATCTGGGTCTTAAATAGGCTACCTATTTCTTTCTAATGTTTTAAGATTGACTCTCAAAGAATAATGGTAAATTATATATATACTAGAGGCCCAGTACACAAAAATTT